TTACAGTAAGCGCCACACTTTTTAACAACAGCAAAAAAGAGGTGCTAGGACTGTGTAGCCTCCTGAAAAAAAAGCGCTGATGCTAATGCTTAAACAAATCTAAAACAAATCAGTTTTAAGCATACGTTGGAAACTCGCATTAAGGATTGAACTAAGTGAGGTTGCCTTCCACTGAGATCTTTCTGTTTTGTTGGCTGTTGGAGATTCACAGAGGTTAAAATCAGAACTGAATGATTTCAGACTATGAATATTTCAGTAATGTGTTTGCTGTATTTTAAACCTCCCCCCCCACACAACAAGTGTTCATGAATTGCCTACTTTTGCCAACAGAGCTTGCCATTCTAAAGCCTCCTTTTCATAATCAGTACTGAGTAATCTTGCATTCTTTGTTTTAAAGATTGAAAATCTTCAGGAGCAACTTAGGGATAAAGACAAACAGCTAACCAATTTGAAAGACAGAGTGAAGTCGTTGCAGACTGATTCCAGTAACACAGACACGGCTCTAGCAACATTGGAAGAAGCTCTATCAGAGAAGGTATGGTTTTGTTGAACACGTCCTTTTAGGAGCAGGTTCTGAATGTTGTAGCTGCTAGTTCGGTTGCACGAATAATTGCACACAATAATTCTGCTCTTGGGGGCAGTATTTGCACTGCATGGTTAGGGAGTCCCAGTGCCAGTTTTGGTGGGTAGGGGGATTTCTGAACAATCAGACATCATGGAAGCTACTGCTGGAACATTTCTAAGTGTCCAGACACTGTAAGTGTGAAGAGGATTAGCCCCTGTTGCGTCCTTGCTCAAATTAAGCTGCAGTTACTTTTGTGTGCTAACAATTTGAGATAACTGTGGTATTGCTGGGAATAAGCAGTTGAATGTGCCCGATACAGAGCTTTCAGCCACTGCAATTTAGTTCTTGCTTGCTTTTGTGATAAAATGCGTGTAGATTAGGCCTGTAAGGCGGATAGATATATACACCAGGAATGCTTGCCAATGCAAATAATACTAGAAAGGATACATTGTTGGGATTTCATCATGTTAGTGGTTAATCAAAGACAACATGGTGTATTAGGGTATTTTAACATGTGTTTTCAACATCTAGCTCAAGCACATTACAGTTCAATTAATCTTCGTTTTGTGCTTTAGAATTATGTTGTTTAACCTTTAATAAAATATAAAAATTAAAGCATGATTAACAGCACAAATGCTTTTGGGATCATGCTTGTACTATTTGGGAAGGAAAATATTTTTAAACATTTTTAAGAAATGTCCGTAAGCCATAACTTTATACGACAGCTTCCTATTAAAATAGAGGATGGCCAGACAATTTCACTGAATTTTGGGGAAGCTACTTTCCATACCAAACTTTGGAGAGACAACAAATAGAACCAGTTTATCCACAATAACATTAAAATCAGAGACGTGGCAAATATTTAAAATATGCAACCCTCTCAAAAATGTACCCCCCCTTCTGTTCAGTTTGATCAACTTCATTTTGTGTACTGTTGGGCCAAACTTGAAAAGGTGCTGCAACACCTGACTTGTGACCTAGCTAGCTTCCCTACCGTCCCTGATACTCCTTCCCCAAGAAGCAAAAGCATTTTGCTTCTTGTCTCCGCAACCCCAGTCCCTTTGGGGCCAGGTACAGCCTTCTAGGCCCCTCTCTCTGACCCTCAGGAGTCTCCCAGATCACACACCCTCCTGAGATACCCACAAACGTGCCACCCCTTCTTTGCATCCTCCTTGAATGTTTTCATCTGGAAGGAAAGTGTCCCTGAATTCTGATAATGCTTCTTGTTGGCCCGGATGGAGGCTATAGAGGGGTGTTTGAGTGTAAAGAAACTATAGCCTGCTGTACAAAGGGAAGTCATCCCACATTAGTTGCTCTGTCCACTTTTACCTCTGGTCTCAACCACCAAAGGTGTGTGGTCCCTGGAAGGTTGACCACAAGGGAATGCGACCCTTGGTCTGAAGAAGGTTCCCCAACCCTGCCCTACGGCAAGGATTTTTTCTTTCTTGTAAAGTGGGACAATTGAAAGGAGTGTGGGGAGTGAGGAATCAAGGGTCTGGGCCAAATTAGTCTCAAAACACACCATTTATTTCAGGCAAGCTTATAGAGGGAGTAGGGAGGCTTTGAGAGGGATGGGAGATTAGACTGCTTGAGCGTTCTAGTCAAACACTGAAATGGATTGCACACTTAAAAAGCCTTATTGTTTTTTGGGGGCCTAGCATGCAGGTACTCACCCATACCTAATAGCAGAAGTTCCGTGCCTAACTGGAAACTTGTGCTGCCCATATAAACACTAAAGTGCCACATTTCCTCATGCCTCACTCTCCTACATGAAACTTCCACGGCTGTGGACTCTACTGCCCATATCTGTTGTTGTTTTTTGCAATCTTAAGTATAGCACTAATGAGAGAGAGAGAGAGGCTGTTCACTTAGAACAGTTATGGCCAGACTTGACCCTCCAGCTGTATTGGGACTACAGTTCCCATCATCCCTGACCACTGGTCCTGTTAGCTAGGGATGTTGGGAGTTGTAGTCCCAAAACAGTTGGAGGGCCAAGTTTGGCCACCACTGACTTATAAGCTACAGTGAGAGAGAAGGTGAAGGTGAAGACCAACAACTTCCATGAGGGGTGGTTTGGGACTGAGGGTATTGAAACTGGAGCAGGAGGAGAGCTGTTAAAGGAACAGTCTGAATTAACTTTCCAAATAAGCCTAGCATTATTCTCTTCCCCATTCCACAATCTGTGGAGATGTCAGGGCAAGGATATCCATAGTGAGGGTCAGCCTGCCCATGAAGCAGACTGAGGCAGCTGCCTTGGGTGGTGGAATCCCATGAGGTGGAGCTCCTGTGGGTTCCCTGGCTGCCCCTGCCAGAGGAGGGAAGAGAAACAGTGAAGAAGGGAAAAGAAAACAGGAACAGTTATTCCGACACTGAGCATCGTTGCTACCTAGGAGCCTTGAATGATTTTCCTGCAAAACTAGCAAACTCTGAGCTTTCAGACAACACAGGAATCAAGTGTATAGGAACCCAGGCTTATCCATGTGGTCCATCTCAATATCCTCACAGGGTGAGATGCGGGTTAGTGTTATGATAATATCCAGTAATAATCATATGTTAAATGAATACTCTCAAACTCTGTTTGACTTCAAGCGGATGCCTAAAGTATATCTAAATTTGTCAGTGCTGTAATTTGCCTTACTTTAGAAGGTGAACCAGGATTATGTGCAGTTCAGCATTGCTATCAACCTAAGGACTTCCAGTTCTTCTGGGGAAAAAAAGCTTTTAAAATGCAGTAGCTAATAATACCTGTTCTATATCAACATTCTTATTTCAAGATCTATCTCAAGATCATTGGTCTTAGAGTTGATTATTTTTCTATGTCAAAAAGCTCCAAATGTGTATGCTTGAAAATTCCCTTGACTGAGGCCTTATTACTTGGTTAAATAAATGTCTTCTCTTGAATGTTAAAAATCTCACAATAATATTAAACATTAGTTATATATTTGTACATGTAGCACAATGCCCAGCTTTTCCCATACATAACAGAAAGCACTTTCATGTCATGTACTATATTGTATTACAGTAGAAAAGAACTAAGCTTATTGGAGAAACACAAATATTTGCACTTCCTTTTAAGTGAGTGTGCACTAACTGCTACCTTCTGAAATGAAGCTTACATTTACACCTGAGTACATCTCCTGTCAGAGAGTATCATAATATGATACTAGCTCAGGCTGAGATAGCAGTACAGTGGAACCTCGGGTTACATACGCTTCAGGTTACATACGCTTCAAGTTGCAGACTCCGCTAACCCAGAAATAGTACCTCGGGTTAAGAACTTTGCTTCAGGATGAGAACAGAAATCGTTATCCGGCGGCACAGCAGCAGCGGGAAGCCCCATTAGCTAAAGCGGTGCCTCAGGTTAAGAACAGTTTCAGGTTAAGAACAGACCTTCGGAACGAATTAAGTACTTAACCCGAGGTACCACTGTATATTGAAAACAGTTGTTTGCCCAGTAGGAAGAGAGAAGAGGGTAGTTGCACTGGAAACGTAAGCTTACATCCTTCTAGGAAAACCATTTATAGATCAACACTCCCTTTTCAAAACTGGTTTACAATGGGATACAGGGAGACGATATTGTGGGTGGGGTAAGGAGTCAAAAGGTCATTTGACAAGGTAGGATGCACAGTTTGTGACCCATCAAGCCAAATGCTACAATTTGCCTGCCCTGCATGGAAACAAACTAGTGGCTCAGCAGATTCACTGCTGGTCTAGGAATTCAGAAGCAGAGGGGTGTTCTCAAGCACTTGGCAAACCACAACATGCTGGTGGCTGATAGGCTGTGTTGAACTCGATAGGTCATATTTCTGAAGCCAGACGTACGTGCATTGAGCTGTGTGTGCAGTTTCTTGGATTGTGACCTCATTCTTGATGTTCTTCTAATGACAGCAAATCCAGAATGCCTGTTTAAAAGGAATTTCTTATTTGAGCCTCTTACAAGCCCCCATTTGTAGAATGCTAGCAGTTCGAAAGCACCCCCGGGTGCAAGCACATAAATAGGGAGTGGGAAGGTAAACAGCGTTCCGTGTGCTGCGCTGGCTCGCCAGATGCAGCTTGTCACACTGGCCACGTGACCCGGAAGTGTCTGCGGACAGCGCTGGCTCCCGGCCTATAGAGTGAGATGAGCGCACAACCCTAGAGTCTGTCAAGACTGGCCCGTACGGGCAGGGGTACCTTTACCTTTACCTTTTACTCCCCAGAGAGGCTCACCCTTCATTACATATCTTTAGATGCCAGGTGAAAACATTCATCTTTTGCCAGGCCTTTGGTTAATGTTATGTATTTTTGCGTTTTTATATTGTAAACCACCCTATGATCCTCAGATGAAGGATGGTGTGTGTGTGTGTGTGTGTGTGTGTGTGTGTGTGTGTGTGTGACATATTTTCCAAGCTGCTGGTTCAAGGTTATAAAGTGTAACCATGTTTTCACTATTTAGGAGAGAATTATAGAGCGATTAAAGGAGCAGAGGGAAAGAGATGACCGTGAAAGGATTGAAGAAATTGAATCCTTTAAAAAAGAAAACAAAGACCTGAAGGAAAAAGTTAATGCTTTGCAAGCAGAGCTAACAGAAAAAGAGGTCAGTGTTTGCAATTAATTGAATATTTGTATTGCTGTGATTCAAATTGCGTATAGTTTTACAGTCACAGAGTGAGATGTTTCAGGTGAAAGCAAATATATTTAAATAATTTGGGATGTAATATCTCCAAAGCAGCCATATTTCTGGGCTTCCAACTTTTACATATAATTTAATAGTGGCTGGGCTTCAAACATGCCATTCCAGGAAGAGAAACAATTTGGACCCAGCAGAGGCTTCCAGGAATTAAAGGTTACTTCATTTCTGTCCTTATCTTTTTAACTTTGCTTTGCATGATTGTGCTAACTGCAGCTGTAACCCAGGAAGTCCCTGATTCAAAACTCACTTCAGCTATGGACTCACTAGGTGGCCTTAGCCAAGGCATTTTTCTTTCCACCTCACCCCTTCCACTTTCAGCTGCAGATGGCCTTCATAAAACTGACTGTTGTAAGGATTACACAGATAACATATGCAAAGTTCTTTGAATAACATACTGTGGCATGTAAATGATGGCTGTAATGAGAACAATGTCACACTATAATTTTTTCGTTGAGCCCCATAGGCGTAGCCAGGATTTTTGTTAGGGGCCAGGCATCTGCTGGGGGGGGGGGAACCTTAATTAATTGAGTACTTTCCACGCTTTTCAGTAAATATTGTGTCCCCTTCCCCTTGGTTACGCCCATGCTGAGTCCTGCATCCTGTCCCTTTCAGAATTGATAATAGCAGTAAAAGGGAGATGAGGCACATTAAGAAATTTATTGTATAATCGCACCCTGTTGGAAAGAACCAGAGACAAACAAGGCTAAAGTTGTGTCACTATGTTGGTTGGACCTATTCAAAACTATGAACATGCCTCTCAGACTTAATGTGATAGCACTAGAATTATGTCCTGCTCCTGGAGGCTAGTACTTGGTAATGTTTATGGGATTGTTCTTTTGAGGCTGCAGTGGAAATATTTGCTGCTATATATATGTCAGAACCCATGGTTTTTCCACAACTGCGTTTGCAAATGTATGTTCTGCTTAATGGTTAATAATTAGTAATGTCTTAATATTTCCCCGTTGTGTTGGTGCAGAGGCTGAGACATCTGCATAAATTGGAAGCCCCCTCCCTCTCCCCTGTAAACCGGCAGGTCTGCAACTCCACATAAATATAAGAAGCCCATATTTTGTTGTTGTTTAGGTTTAAAGTGGGTCCACTGCAATTGCTTAGAGAGAGAAGAGCCCCAGTAAAGAATCAAAAGAGGTTCATTGAACTTAATAAATATCCACTACTGTCCGTGATCATCAGTTTACTTTCAGTTAGGCCAGAAGCAGGGTAAGTGGGCAGTGTATACATGTGCCCACAGAGGCGCTATGCTCCTATGCTGTTGATTTCCTCTAAGCTCTTTGCAGCAGGGACTAAACATGGTGTCGGGCTTTCTACCCATGGCTCATTACCTATGTGCTCTGGAACATCATTGCAGCTGTGCTTTAGAGGACGGCACCTCACAGTCTCCAAGCCCGCTGTAAAAGGCTTAGTAGGGATTAAAAATTGGTTCTATGTTTTCTGGTAACCTTCTCTTTCAATTGTCTCTTTTATATATATTACATGTATTTAGTCTAGCTTAATTGACCTCAAAGAACATGCATCGTCATTGGCTTCGGCTGGACTGAAAAGAGACTCCAAGTTAAAGTCTTTAGAAATAGCCATAGAGCAAAAGAAGGAGGAGTGTAGTAAGCTAGAAGCACAACTGAAAAAGGTAAATACTAACAACAGATCTTATTTCCAATGCATGCCTGCGTTTCTGCAGTGAAATATGTCATCTGTTAGTTTCAAGTCGAAACTACTGTTAATGAACGGAAATGTGTTTGTTTATTAAGCTTGAAACCTGTCGGCAGTTTTAAAATAAGAATACTGTATTATTATTGCCATTTTAAAAATTTGTCTTCAGCAGAAAAGCCATGTAAATATATATGGGAACTTTTTTTTTTAATGTACAGCATATTTAATCACATTTAGTCTAAATGATTTTGTCAAAATGATTTGGAAATCATGTTAGCACATTTCTACCATACATTGTTTCTCTTTCCTATGTGAGTTAGTATTGTGTATGTTCATCGTTGAAACACAAACTCATGGCATACTTCTTGGTTTCAGCATCATGTTTGCCTTCCACACCTTGTAAACGGGCTCATGTTGCCAATAGATCATTTAAACAAGGGCACAGTCGGGCCAAAGTTAAGCACATTTAACTCTCATTGAAAGTGCAACTTGGAAAAAAAATATCTTTAAATTTGGCTCTTGTGTGGCCCATACATCATTGTGGACAGGTGCTTGCAAAGTGATTAACTATATGAACATTAAATTTGACAAGGCAAAAGTGCAAGGTCCCATGTACACCACATGGACAGAAGATTATACTTGTACAATCTTTTGTAAAGTCACAGGCAGAGGGAGAGACAGCCCAGTCCTCATATCTGGGTTGAATTGCCTGATCAGTGCTTGACAGTTCAAGATACGGTAGGTTGCAGCATGCTAAATGTCAAAAAACACACCAAAAGGTAATAATAATCATATATAAACAACATCAAGATGCAACCCCAAACAGTCCTAAAAGGACTGAAATCTGAGATGAAACAACTTACCAAAATCAGTGCATTGTGCATAATATCCAGTGCACCAATGTAGGTTTAGCATCCATACAATTCAAGGAGTGTGCGTGCATGTGCGTGCATGCTGCAGTTAAATTATGTGCTGCAACCACCCCTTTCACTCCAGAAGCTAAGGATATATTTGCACTTCATTGCTGGGCGGGTCTGACTCAACACCGTTTGCTGCCTGAAGCAAAAGGACAAGATGGCATCCCTTCCATTCCAGATGCAGAAGGTGACCAGGTTCTCAGTTGAACCTTACTTCAACGCTGCAGGTTGGCTCAGGGGATGCATGCGCAACTGTGTGGCATACACAGCTTTGTCCCTCAACACCTGCTCCCCAAGGTTGCTGTCATCACAAGAATACAAACACAACACGTAGGCTAATAGTTAGTAGAGAATATATAATAGAATAATGATATCATTCAAATTATAGGAATAGGCCAATCAAAGTTCATATGTACAATATAACAGAGTGGTAGCGAGGACCGTCAAGCCGTGTGTTCAAAACAGATGTCTAAGGACAGCCTTTCAATAGTCTTTCAAAAGTTTCAACGGAAGTCGCCTCAAAAGCCTCAAAAGGACAGTGTCTCCGGACAGTGTCTTCAAGGTTGCTGTCATGGCAGTACTGGCTGTAATAGTGGGCTATGCAATGCTTAGCACATTAAAGAGCCAGATTTTCACAGATGTAACAGATCTCAAGTTTTTATACCAAGTGTTGCTTTAAAAAAATCTGTATTATTCATCAGCCATGTTTAGCAATATTCACTGGTTTGTGAAAAGAACAGGTGCTTCTACGATGAAAGTTTAAAATTTGAGGTGCTAAACAGAAACATGAATTGTTATTTATAATTGACCTCAAACAGTTCTTTTTAATGTATGTTTTATTTGGCAGCGTTGCTTAATTTTAGCTGAAATTCCAAACATTGTGTGAGAAGATGGTCATACAACAGATCTGCATGCTTAGTGTTCAGCCATTTGAACTTTTAGGAAAACCTAAGTTCGTGCATTTGGTTGGTGATGAAAGTGATGAAGTATTGATATGCCTTTGTTCCTATAGGTAGATAGATGTTTTTTGAAACTTGCATTCCACAGTAGTGATGGGTCAGGAAACTGCAGGAATGGTAGAACTGAAATATTTGTTAAAATTGGAAAATAAATTCCAGATGAAACTTCAAAAGCATGTTTTCAAATTTATCATTAAAAAAGAAAAACTTGCTTTTGGAAGTTGCATGTAACGTATCATTCCAACACACACACACACACGCACACACACACACACACACTTACTTTTTGATTAGTTTTTAAAAGAATGATTGAAATGATCAAATCACTTCAAACCACTTAAAGTACTTCTGTAGTTACAAAAAGTAGCCCATTCATAACTGACCTGTTTCTTGTTCTGTTTATGCAGAGAAAACTGGCCTGAAAACAGTAATCAGGTGGCATATGGGTCTGTAAGCTATCTCTATATAACAGATCTTGACCTTTTTGCATCAGTGCTGGCTCCAGCATTTTGGGGCCTCTTAGGCATGGTATTGTCAGTGGCCTCCATTAACCTGGAAAAGTTGGGACACGCAAGTGAGAATTTCCTTAGGCTGCATCTGATCCTGGATATTCTGTGTGAAGTAAAAATAGCAGCATTATTTCAACCATGGGCCCTCTCTGGTCTTGGGGCCTTAACAGATACCCAACCTGGCCACCTTCTGGAACCAACCCTGAATGTGAGGTTTTGGAGCTACACAGAATTTAAGCTTGGAGTTGTCACATTAATTATCCTACTTTTATATAAGTGGCATGAGGACTGGAACCTTATTTTACTGTTTAGCTTCAATTACAATTCTTTGTGCCTCACCTTAATAATTAGTATGATCATCTTTCAAACAACTGCTGGTGTTTAGTTCCCGCTGGCTACAATAACAGCAAGGTGTAATCAAGAAAGCATGTGGTATGCCTAAAGTTAATTTGTAGAGGTTAGGGTTTTTTCCTGCTATTTTCTCTCATTTTCTGCTAGTTCTTCTTTTCATATATTTTTGAGCTAGGAAATGGATAAAACAGGGAAACCGATTCACCAGCATCAAAATTCTTTCAGCTTTCAAAACGCCTTGCTGCTTTTCAAGCTGGCATAATTATACACCAACCGCCTTGCCTTGGGGAGGGGGACACAGAATCTATACAAGAGAACTACAACAAAAAAGGGAAACTTGCATATTTTATTACAGTATATTATACTGTAGGGTTATCATATTTCAAACAGCAAAAATCAGGACAGAAAAGTTGTTGAACAGTTTTCCAGATATGTCTGGGAAATTCCGGACGTATGGCAACACTGCTATAGTGTTGAAATAATATATATATTGCATACCTAGCCATTTCCCTTGAGTCGAGATAAAAAAAGTCATATTGTACAGTTAAAAATGAACACTAGGATATCCAACTTTACAGATGACAGTCCTCTATATGAAGGGCTGTCGGCTCTCTATTTCAAGGTATTGTCTATTTGATGGGCCTATCTGGTTAAAAGATCAAGAATTAAAAGAAGGGAGGGCAGAGCCCCTTAAGTTGCCCAATAGCAGATAGCTCCTGAACCATAGAGGTCATCTCGCCATAGTTGTCCCTGCTGTCTTGCAATGTATACCTATTTAAATTATAGCAAATGTTTCTAAATTTGCATCCGTGCACATAAACTGGCATGCGGCATTTTGTGCAAATCTGTGCCCTCTTTATGATGCATTTGCTCTGTTTTTTGGCTATGTAAGTGGCCACACTAGGCAGGATTATGAAGAGGGAGAACCAAAAATGCCATGGGAGAGATTCAGTTCACACATGGGATTCTGAGGCCTCCTCTGAAATTCAAGGAGGGGCTCTTTGCTGCACTTTCTTTCAATGCGGCAAAAGAATCCACAGTGGAGGGAGAAATCTGGACAGCTACACTGCATCCGTGAATTTTCAGGAGGCTCTTTGGATCAGAGCTTAATAAAAGAAAGCTTGCAGTGTGAAAGGCATGAGAGCATTAACAGAAAAATGCCCCAGTGGATGTTCGTTTTATAGACATTTTGCCTTCATGAATGAAGAAGTCATAGGAATTTTCTTTGTTTAACGGCTGTAAGTAATCCTTAAACCATTTGTCCTGAAGTGGTCTCAGTGAATACCCTTGATGGAGGCAGTTGTGGATTTTCAATCACTGGCATCCTGTTCAAACCCTACCCCCCCCATTCCCACCCCAGTGATTGAGTTGTCATGGGGTCGTCATAAAGCTGAAGTCCCACAGGGTGGTAGGACTTCAGCGAGACTGCTCTAGAGTAAGTGGTTTATAGCTTACAGCATCATTTGTTTTGCTTCCTTATAGACTATTCCACTTCAGAATGTCTTCCTTTTGTTCGCTGCCGCTTAGATTTCCTCACCACTACTGTTTGCCAAACTGTACTGTTCAGAATTCAAATAAAACTGAAATGCAGTTTTGTGTTAATATGAAAGGAAGGCCATAAATTTAATGATAAAGTTTAATTAATCTTTTATTATTACCATCTTTGAAGCTTTGGTGATAAATTGCAGCCTTGGCCAAAAGCACTTCTAGTGATTCATTGCTAGAGACCAGCACTTAATGTATCATCAAAAGTGGACAGCTTTCTGTATTTCATGGGTTATTTCACTTGAGAAAGGGAAAGTAACACAAACCTTAGATTTCTTACTCCAGCTATTCTTTTTTAGGAGCCAAAGTCAACATTTATTTTCCCCCAGTGCCTCTCACTTGCACTAAAGAATGTTTAGAAACTTACATTTCTACTTTAAAAAAATAAAATTCCAAGTTCTTCTGTGCAAATGTGCTGGATTTGCTGAGCTAATACTGTTTTCCTGGATCTTTCCTTCTTTTCCTGTCTGTGCTTCATTCCTTCCCAACTTTGCAATGTAGCAAGCTGAACAGTTGTTCAATCAGATGTACAATCCAGTAAGTCATTTCAGAAAGTGTCCGCTGTAACATACGAAAGCATGAGGATCCATTTAACCACCACCATGTTGTCCTTCTTCCTCTGTGGAGCTTTGCAAAACAATGATGGCTTCATTTGCGTTGTGTTGAAATAAAGTGAGCTTTGCGGACTTTAAGGCT